GGTACAATGTGAGCTTAATAAATACTGGCTAGTATCATGCGGTGACAGAAAACCAAGTAATGTAAATAAAAAACGGACGAAGAATTGGCTACTCCATGTCTATGACATTTCTCCGGTTGGTACACAAACCATCAACAAGCACTTCAAGAGATGGTCAGCATCACTAGACACAGGGAGATTAAAATTTTTTAAAAAGTTTTTATTAGTGTGTATTTGCAATATGAATAACGATTACATTTGTTGTGGGGAGCTGGTACTTGTTCCTAACACATTTTCTTTTATTTCCCCTTCCCCCGCCCCCGTCTTTTATCTCTTGGCTTGCTTCCTATTTGCAAAGGATCTTTCTGTTTCCTATTAGCTTTTACTTTTGCTCTTAAATTATTTACACATTGGGTTTCTCATAGAAGAGAACCACACAATATCTAAGCTCATGTGTCTGATTTATCTCACTTAGTATGATGGTCTCAAGGTGCACCCATTTTCCTAAAAATGACTCAAGTTGTCCTTCTTTATAGCAGAGTAGTACTCCATTGTTTATAAATACATTTCTTTATCCATTCCTCTGTGGATGGACATATAGACCACTTTCAAGATTTAGCTATTGCGAGTGGCACTGTGACAAACATGGGTATGCATGGGTCAGTGCAGTGTGATGCCTTTAACTCTTCTGGAAAGACACCCAGAAGGGGTGGAACGGGACAGAGCATTTATTGTACTGGAGAGCTGTGTGTCAGAGCCGTAAGATGCCACTTTACACCCCTCAGCAAGACAAAAAGAAAAAGTAATGAGTGCTGCTGAGGATGCGGGCAGACTGGAGACTTGGTGCAGGGTTGAGGGGATGTAGGATGGTACAGCTACCATGAACCACAGCATGATATTTCCTGGAAAATTACACACGAATTACCATGTAATCCAGCAATCCCACTTGAGTGTGTATGCCTAAAAAGAACTGAAAGCAGGGTCTTTTTGAGACAGGGTCTCGCTATGCAGTTCAGGCTGACGTTGAGCTCACTTTGTAGCCCAGGCTGGTCTCGAACTTGCAACGATCCTCCTGCCTCAGCCTCCCGAGTGCTGGGATTACAGGCATGTGCCACCACGCCCGGCTTGAAAGCAGGGTCTTGAAGAGACACTGTACACTCATGTTCACAGCTACTTTATTCACAATAGCTAACAGGGAAACAACCCAAGCATCCATCAACAGATTGAATGGATAAACAATGGATTACGCAGCCTTCAAAAAGGAAATTCTGACACATGCTACCACACAGAACCCCGAGGGCCTATCCTAATTGAAACAATCCTGACCCAAGAACACAAATATTGATTCCACTCATGAAAAGCTTCTAGAGGAGTTCAGTTCATACAGACTTAGAATGGTGGTTACTGGGGTAGGTGGTAGGGGAGTCAGGAGTTGTTATTAATGCAGGTATTTTCAGCTTTGCAGGAAGAAAAGTTCTGGAGATTGCATAGTAACATAAATATTCTCAATACAGAATGGTGCTTTTTTTTTTTTTTTTTTTTTTTTTTTTTTGAGACAGTCTTGCTATGCAGTTCAGGCTCGCCTTGAGCTCACTTTGTAGGCCAGGCTGGTCTTAAACTGGCAATGATCCTCCTGCCTCAGCCTCCCCAAATGCTGCGATTACAGGCATGCACCACCACACCTGGCTTAGAATGGTGCATTTTTTTTTTTTTTTTTTTTTTTGGCTTTTTGAGACTCACTCTGCAGTTCAGGCTAGTGTTGAGCTCACTTTGTAGCCTAGGTTGGCCTCAAACTCACAACAATCCTCTTGCGTCAGCCTCCCGAGTGCTGGGATTACAGGCGTGTGCCACCACGCCCGGCAGAATGGTGCATTTTAAAGTGGTTAAAATGAATCAGGTGTTGTGCTGCACCCCTGTAGTCCAGCTACTGAGGAAGCTGAGGCAGGAAGATCATTTGAGTCCAAGAAGTTTGAGGCCAGGCTGGGCAACATGGCAAGATCCTACCACAAAACAAAACAAACAAAACAATACAAAGGCTGAGGTGGTAAAATTTGTTTTCTAAAACTATAATTAAAAATTTTAAAGTTAAATAAATACTAGCTATCTTTATTTTACAGGCAAGGAAGTGATCTGACCCAAAGTACTGTCAGGGCAGAGCTGGACCTAGGTGGGAGCTCTCGCCGAATCCGAGGCCGGCTTCTCCCAGGGGTGACACCTGATGGGGACCTGCTCAGCGCCCTACTGTGGAGCTGCCCCACAGAACCGTACTGAGGAAGTGCAGCGCTGTCTCGGCTGAGTGGCCCCCAGCAACCTGGTGCTCAGGCCGGAGTGCCCGCCTGAAGGGGCACAGTTGGTTCATCACGTTAACCTCACCACAGCATGCCTACCCCCTGCCCGTGTCAGCAGGACATGGCGGGGTTCAGAGAAAGAAGAGAGGGAGACAGACAGACCGACGGGCAGATAGTGACCGGCCCACTTAAAGCCGCCTTCTATTGCAGGGAGCGAAGCTGGTGCAAAGGGGCAGGGCTCCCCGCCAATGGTCAGGAAGCGACACCTTTCTAAGGGGGGTTCTAATTAAGACATGAGACGCACACTTCCCTGAAACTCAGCACTTCCCAGAGACCGGTAAGGCACAGTGTACGTGGCAGCTGCTTTGTAAACAAAGGAAACTCGGGCGACAGCCACGAGGACGCGGCTCCCGTGCCTGGGCCACCTTGGGAGACTGAGGCTCCTCTCCAAGGAGATGAAGACTCCGTCACCAGCAGAATCCCAGGCAGGGACCAGGCGAGAGGCCAGCGTCCTCGGGTGGGCCGGGGCCATTCCGCACAGGGTGCCAGGACCGGGGTGCGGGTGAGGGCTGGCAGAAGAGCATCTGGGTCAGTGCGCGTGGGTCTGGCCCAGCCAGGGCTCTGCGAAGCCGTGCGGACAGGGGAGCTAGCGGGGCAGAACGGAGTTTCCCGTTCCGGCACCCAATGCTGCAGGGCTCAGCAGTAGGTGGTAGGTATCTGGCGATGGTAGTGACCGGAGGCCTCCCTTTTCTCTCGTACATGAGCTCCCTGAGCCCTCCGGGGCCTGGCCCTGCTGCTCAGTGCCACAGGGCTGAGCTCCCAGCAGACGCAGGGGCTGGCATCTGCAGTTCTGGTCACTCGAGGCAAGGTGCCGTGGGTTCCTGCAACATGCTAAGGTCACGTGTGTAGATTTCTGGTAATTGCAGACTAATAGACAATGCAAGTGGCTGTGTGCAGATTGTTGCACCCTCTCTCTATCCCTTCCCAAGCTCCTCCGGGAGTCTGTCAGACACGAAGGACAGACAAACCTGAGGGGCAGCGCTGAGGGCCTCCCCAGCAGACTCCGGCCGCCACAGACCGTCCTTTCCTGCGCGCTCCTGTCAGTCCCCGCTGTGCAGATGCATAAGCAGCTGGGATTCTGAGTTTCAGGATTCTTACTAACCAGCTCTAAAGTCAACAGATTTTGTCACCAGTGATGACGATAATCTCAGGGAACAGAGGGCTCTGGTGGGCCACGATGAAGAGTGGGCTCCAGTTCTGCTCTGAAGGTCGAGTAAGCGTGGTCGCAGCTCTTCCCTTCGGCCGCGGCTCCACGGCGATGGCTGTCTCGCCTGCGTGAGGCTTCGGTCCAGTCACCAGCACCACCAAGAACGGGTTAGTGGTGCTCACTGCTGATACTGTGAACCACATAACTGACTTATTGGGAAAAGTGCCAATAATGAGACTGATTTCATTAACAAATACTTGAACACCAACGAGGAGGAGAATTCAAATGCAGAGATGATGCGAAGAAGCTGGAATAAAGGAACCCGTGTGGACCGCAAGGGTGCTGCAGGAGAAGGCGCGCTGCTCCCCCCGCACCGCCCACCTCGTGTAGAAAGTAGGGCCACAGGCGGGGCGACAGCGTCTCCTTAGGCCTCAGCATTTGTCAGCATGGGTCCCTGAGGCACCGTGCTACGCAAGGAAGGAAAAACATGCTCAGCGCTGAACATCGCCTGAGATAGGTTTACTTGGGTTTCATATATGAAAGGGTACAATTAAGTTTCATTTCCCAAGTTGACTCTGTCATAAAATCAGTTAAAAGGCAGAAGACCCACTAGTTCACGAAAAACAAACCCTCTGATCTGTCCAGTGATTTGGTCCATCTTAGCAAGACGCATGGTCGCTGCCTTCGCCCCTGGCTGTGCACCAGGGCGGGGATGCAGCGGCATCGACCGCCAGCCCTCGGCGCTCACTCCAAGTGGACCCCCAACATGGTTTCCAACCAAAGCTTTTCCTGAGGACGAAGCAAAACCAAGAACAATGAAAACTAACTTTTAAAAAAATTTATTGAAGGAACGCAGAAGTGCATCTAAATCATCTTTTAAACCATTTTTTTTTTTTTTTTTTTCTTTTTGGGACGGGGTTCAGCCTGGCCTTGAGCTCACTTTGTAGCTCAGGCTGGCCTCGAACTCCCAGAGATCCTCCTGCCTCAGCCTCCTGAGTGCTAGGATTACAGCCATGTGCCACCATGCCTGGCCAAACCAATTTTTAAACTCATTATATGCTGACTCACCACTCCATATGCAATCAAAACATGCTTTGAAGACGTCTGATTTCTATGCAAACCACTTGAGAGTATGAATCTGATGCAAGAACGTATGAAGTCTCTCTTCCTGAGTGGTGGTGAGCACTGCCGTCACTGCGTGGAACCACTCACGTGCCCTCCCTCTCCCCCGACACGCCGGCCAGTTCCCCTCACGGCCCGTGACGCACACTTAGGAAACAGCTGGCGGAGGTCACGTCCTTTTTGGAACAGTTTCTCACTTGTTACCTGCGCAAGGCTAACTAACCTTTTCAGGCTCAAATTTCAGTGGCCTCATCGGACTCGTGCTCTACTCAACAGAGCTAAAAATACTAACAGTTAAGCAAATAAGCAAAATCACTTTTGCTTTTCCTATCTCCTAGGCAAGATGTGGGCTTTTTAAAGAAACACTGCACAAAAGACAAAAGTGTGAATGAGAAATGAGAGAGTTTTAAAGGCAAAATCTCACAATTTAATTGCATTTGTTCCACAGAGAAGGCTGGGATAAAGGGAAATGATCTGATTTCTAGATTTTAAGGCCCTAACTTAATAATGAAAATGTCTCCTTAAACCACCATAAAAATAAAAACAAACCTAAATGCAGCTGCCAGTGTTCTTTAGGGCCTAAGAAAGCGAGACGGTCTAGGTTTGGGCAAACGGCTCCTTGGGCTGACGGATGCCTTCCCGTGAGTGTTTCTCGGGCCACGGCAAAGAAAGGCACGCTCAGTCTCATTTACTTACCCTTAAGGGCTAACACCCAACTACATGCATGTATTTGTTTGAGGACTTGCTCTAATCCAATGCCCAAGTACTGGAGATTTAGGTTTGCTGTACCTGCACAGGAAGCCGTTTCACCTGTCACAACTCACGCCAGAACAGAGAAGCCAGCAGCGCAGGGAGACAGAGCACCTGCCCGTCAAACCTGCAGGTAAACCCTTCATGCAGAAGGGCAAATACCTAGTTTTCAATCCCACAGACTTTTCAAACAATTAAGCTACTGAGCTGTAAAAAGTCAAGATGATTTTTGTATGGTAGAGGAGTGTAAAGTTCCATAAACCAATATACATGTTTATGAGCCAGTAATTAAAAAAAGACATAAAAGCTGCATGGATCCTAAATGGATACGTAAGTAAATCAACTCCAGGTCAGAGACACCCTAAGAGCAGGTTTTAGATCCTACCAGCAGGCTGGGAATGCACACAGGCTGCCAGCAGCAGTGCCGGCAGGAAGTACAGGCACTATCATCACCTCCTAGAAGGCGTAGCAAGGGAAGAGAAAGCACGGTTCTGATCGCTCTTTTCACATTTCAGCACCTCAGAATTTCATCTACAAAGAGGAAGCGAACCCAGAAGGGCGTTTTAGGAAGGACAGCGGCACTCCCCCAAGGGACAGGCTCACAAGGAGGCTGGCCGAGGCAGCCGGGAAGCAGCCGAGGCAGCAAGCAAGTGGCTTCTGAGGTTCTGGCTTTCAAGTCTGTGACACTGCTGTGGAGCCGAAGGGGTCCGCCCCCCTCCACCGTGGGCTCTGTTGGTTATAAGTGCAACAAGCTGCGTTCATAGCACTTCAGCCATTTGAAAGACAAACTCGTGCTCTCCTGTCGGAAAGGAGAAATTCTTTAAGTGTTTTTCTTAAAGGTTTCTGCAGTGCTATGAAAGTTCAAATGTAAAATCTAACAGCGCCAAATTGTTAGGGTGATCTCGAGAGACCCTGCAGCGGATACTGAAAGTTGACATGAACTGAAATAGGAGCCGCAAGGAGCCGCGGGTGGGTCTGCGCCCGGGCCCTCTCTGCTCTGTCCCGCCTGGAGTGGTCCCACGCCACCCCTCAGTGAACCCACTGGGCAGCAGCAGGGTGGTTGCTTTGGGGAAGCTACCGGTTGTGCTCTTTGCTTCCAGAATCACAGAGACTATAACAAACTTTACACTAAACACTGTTTAGTCCTGAGGTGGGTGGACGCCCAGGGAGGAGGGGCCGAGCTCTCCGGAACCTCTGCCCTCCTTGGCGTGGCGTCATAGGTGGCCTTCGGGTTGCCCTCCTTCCATCGTTTTACTTTCTGTCCCTTTTTCACCGGTGGCCCCCTCTAAAGTCTTCTTGCTCATTGCTTTACTGGCCTCTTCCTGAGGAAGGAATGAGAAATCAGGAAGGTTAGAGAAAAAGGCAGTACGAAAGTCTGGCTCCTCCAGACTTCTACTACTGTGATTTCATTTAGATTGCCTGGCTGGGTAAGGCACGGTGTGCCACGAAGCGCTGGGCTGGGGTGTTCCCTCTTCGCTGGTGACCGGGCTGGCGCAGGCGGAAGCTGTCGAACACGTTGGTCCACGCGGCAGCAGGGCTGGGGCCGCACACAGGACCAGGGCCCGCCTGTGCTGCACAAGAGGCCCCTGCGCTCCAGACAGAGCGCTCCTACTAGCCGGCTCCCAACTCTCAAGGTAAGTGCGCAACGGCGGGGCTACTGCTTCCTGCAGAGGTCCCACGTTTCAACAATGAGGTGTCACGTGAAAAGACCTGATTTTAAAGAAGGTAACATAGGCCCTAGTACCTCCGAGGGAAATTTATGTTCCTCATGTCTGCGTGGACATGCCAGGGCCTCATAACCTGTGCCTCCGGTGAGTGGAGCAGCCCTCCGGCACCTGTGGATCCGCACCAGCCTCCCACCAGAAGGCAGCTCATTCCCGGGTTCCTGTGCTCCCCCGGTTGTCCCCGCACTTAGCCCGCCCAGCACAGGAAGGGCGAGTCCAGCCCTGATCCGTCCGGGGGCAGGCGGGCTCCACACACACCTTCGCATCCTGCTCCGCAAACTTCTTGAACATGTTGGCGTAGATCCTGCGGTCCCGCTCGTTGTGCTCCTTCGCCTTCTTCTGGCACATGGAGATCTGGAGTCTGGCGGCCTTGTTCTGGGGATTGATTTCCAACACTTTCTCGAAGTCACCCTTGGCCGACTCGAACTCGTTCATGAGCAGCTGGGCCTCGCCCCTCCTGTACAAGCCTTTCTCGTTGGCACTGTCCAGTCCGAGGGCCTGCGGAGAGATGGTCTCTTTTAGAAAGGATGGACAGAACCCTTCTCACTTGTGGGGATTTTCGTATGAAATTCAGCAGAGGAACAGATTACTAAAGCCCCCTGACGAAAGGAGACGGAAAAGGTGTACTAAAAAATGTGGTGCTTTCGGCAAGTATATACCGCTCAGAATGTACCACTCAAGTTAACTCCTGTATGCCAGGCAGGGCGGCACATGCCTGTAACCCGTTACTTGGGAGGCTGAGGCAGGACAGTGGTAGGTTTGAAACCAGCCTTGACAATTTAGTGAGACTTGGTCTCAAAATACAAAGCTGGGATGTGGGTCAGAGAGCCCTTGGCTAGCACGTGTGAGGCCCTGGGTTCATCTCCTAGTATCAACAATGACGTGAAGAACAAAAAACCTTACAAAAAAGCACAGTGATTGCCTTTTGATTTTCTTACTGCTTTTTTCTATCTTTTCAGATGCCTTCAGGTTTTAGCTCTACCCACTACACAACGCGCACTATTCACTCTGAAGCCAGACACGGCCAGCAGGAGGCAGGTAGGCAGGTCAGAGCGGTGCGTGTATTGCTCGAGCCCCTCCTGCGCAGTGCTGGGATGGGAAACGGCAGCGCTAGCACAGAGGTGAGAGTGGCGAGGGCTGCCGGGAGCTCTGCGGTCTTCCAGATCATCCACACTCCTCCCACACGATGGCGTCAGGAAGCGCCTGTAGGTGCCTTCTGTGAGCGGGTGCGGTCTGGCACAGCGGAGCTCTGGAACGCTCCAGTTGGACCTGCTTTTTCATAGGGAGCCCTACACGTCCGCTCTCATACCAAACTCCAGGGGTATAAGGAAAGTCACGGTTGTAAACCGTGTAATTTTATCAGAACTTTTATCCATAAGGTATCACGAGTACTCTAAGGATTAGAAAAGTCTGATTGTAATAAAAAATCTTTTTGCATTTCCCAACTGATACTGAGAAACAGTCCCAAACATGCAAATAAATATACAAAGTGGAAAACCCTCCAGCCCTTGGGGGAGAGGCAGCAAAAGGAGCAGGTGTGGGTGTGGAGGAAGACCCGGGCCCCGTGTGTCCCCCTCGGGCACCATTACCTTGTCACAGCACTCCACAGCTTTGGCGTATTCTCTCAGCTTCAGGTAGCACATGGCCAGGTTCAGAAATGCAGCGAGCAGAAATGATTCGGACGCTTTCAGTTCCTTCTCTGACAGCCCGTACTCCATCTCCAGCCAGGACACTATCTTCCCGTACTGAATCACCGCCTGCATGTATTTGCCTCCCTAGGACAGAAAAAAGCTAGTATTTACTTCTGGTACTTCACCCTGCAGCAGGGACACAAGCAGTGTGACAGTGGCCCTGCCTCAGACAGCCCACCCTCCACCCGGGGACCCCACACGGGAGCCCTGCTCGGCAGCCTTCCTTCTGTCCCTGCCGGCGGTCTCCAGGCCTGCCCGCTCCTGTGGGGGCCCCAGCGGCCTCGAGCTAGCTGATGGTGCAGCAGCACCGCACAGGGCTCCTTCCCATGGTCCCTCTGTCCCTTTGGTTCGTTCCTCGACGCAAGTACTCATCGATCTTTCAGAAGGGTGGTAAGCAGTGTGGTTTACCGGAGGGGCATTTTTTCTTTTCTCCAGTGTTCAGCAGTGCAGTAAACCCTGTGATCTGGCAAGGGCTAGACCCAGAGGTAGCAAACGTGAGCCACCTACACCCAGCTCCGCTGTCCTATTCAGCTCTGTCCTCTGTGGGGCAAAAGCTCCTCTAGACGAGGTATATGACAGTGGGGGTGGCTGTACCTGGTGAAACTTTTTTCTCTACTTGAATTGTTTTAGTATACAGGCCTGTGGTACGTGATGACTGCCTCTCTCACGGGGCACTGGTACATATACACAGCACATCTTCTTCGGGCCCCTTCCCCTCAGTACCATTCCCACTTGCAGATCCATTCCCTGTTTCTTACTATCTTTCATTTTGTTCCTTCATCTATATACACCTTGGGTTTCTCATCTAAGAGAAACCATGCACTATTTAAGCTTGTGTGTCTGGTTTATTTCACTTAACATTATGGTCTCAAGATGCATCCATTTTCCTACAAATGACTCAGATTTATCTTTCCTTATAGCAGAGTAGCACTCCACTGTGTTTAAATACGTTTTCTTTTTCTGTATCCAGCCATCAGTGGATGGACATACAGGCTGCTTCCAAGATTTAGCGATCATAAGCTGTGCTGCTAGGGACACAGGTGCGCCTGTATCACTGTAATACGATGTCTTAGCTCTTTGGGGAAGACACCTAGGCGGGGAATAGGTAGATCAAATGGAATTTCTGGTTTCAGGTTTTTGAGGAATCTCCGTACTGATTTCCACGGAGGTTGTATTCCCCCAACAGTGAACGGTTCCTCCCTGCACCACAGCTTCGCCAGCATTTGTTATTATCTGATTTCTTGGTAACAGCCATTTCCTCTGGGGTAAGATGGAATCTCAGTGTTGTTTTAATTTTCACTTCTCTGATGGGCAGAGATGTCAAACTTTCTTCATCTATTTATTGGTCACTTGTGCTTCTGTTTCTGAGAAGTATTTATTCATTTCACCTGCCCAGTTGGTCTTTTATGTTTTTGGAGGAGGGTCTAATTTTTCTGAGTTCTTTATATATTCTAGATAGCAGTGGTCTATCTCAGGAGTAGCTGGCAGAAGTTTTTCCTGTACTGTACAGTGTCTCTCCACTCTGTTTCCTAGTGAGTTTACTTACAAACACAGGGAGTGGGCCAAAGTTGGCCCATAGCCTATAGATGCTGATGCAAAGGCAATGGGAATATATGCAGCTGACTAGCAGCAAAGGGTACAAATAATAACTATAAAACATCACGGATCACATAGGTGTCAGTCACTGTGTGACACAAATCTCCTACTCTCATTTTTTGCAATTCTAACAACTGTACATGAATGCATCATATGAATAGAAAGTCTATGAATATAAACGTGTATAAGTGCACACACGTAGCTCTCCGCGAGAAAGCTCGGGGCTGAGACAATGTGCTCCTGCTGTCGTAAGACGGATGCTCACATGGAGTGAGAGCTGGTGAGAACAAGAACAGGGCTAGCGGTGAGGGCTCTCCCCTGCAGGAGACGACTATGGGCCTGGGAACACAGACATACACCCCGTGGATGGTACAAGCAGCCAGCCCATTAGGACACTAGATCCAGTGATGTCACCAGGATTCACCGCACGTGAAGCAGTGAGGGTGTCTTGCCCCACGCAGACGCCAACCCTCAGCCACTGGCTTTGCACAAGAAGAGGACAGACTGAGAAGGCGCGGGTTATCAGGGTGCAAATGGGCGGTGTGGTAACCAGCCCGGCCTGTAGAAAGACGGCCCTGTGGTGGGTTTTCTTGTGACGACGAGGCCCTAGGTCTGCACGGCCTATGCTACAGCCCCCGGACGCCCTTCTTCACAAATCTCATGTTTGGGGAAGGGGCGACTCACCGACTGCATCAGTTTTGCTACAGAAAATCTGTGCCAAAGGACGCTGAGATTATGTGGGAGAAGGGCACTAAACTATGTCTGTCACACTCTGCCTCAGAAGGTAGTGACACAACTTTCACGTAAGAATAAGAAAGCAGGTCTCCTCGCTAGAGATACTCGCTACGGACTACACTGCGTCCCCTACTCATCTCCGCGCTGAAGCCCTAAGTCCCAGGGGGATGATCTTCGGAGATCGGGCCTCTGGGAAGTAACCAGGCTCAGAAGAGGCCAGGAGGGTGAGGCCCTCATGACAGGATTAGTGCCCTGTAAGAAGAGACCGCAGAGCTCTCTTCCTGTCTCACCCACCCAGCATGTAACTGAGGAAGGCATGTGGGGACAGGGCGCAAAGGGTGCTGCAGGCGATCTGAGGAGAGGTCCTCACCAGACACGGACCCGCTGGCACCTGTCTTGGACTTCTAATCTCCAGAACTGAGAAGTAAATTCCTACTGTTAAGGCATCCAGTCTATGGTATTTTGTTATGGTAGCCAAGTTAAACAATACTTCTCTTTTTCTCATAGCTTTAGATCTACACTTTGTAGGCCACTATAAAAAGATAAGAAGTCCTCACCAGCTTCAGGGGTTGGCATTTTATTTCTGTCACTAACTTTTTTCTTGCTGGGTCATGAGGTCTTTGAGGACAGGCAACATGTCCTATCAGTTCTGGAATATCCAGGGTCTAGCATGAAGAGGCCCTTAATAAATGTTTGCTGAGTAAACATTAAAGTCAGAGGAGTGTACCTGGGGAATCAAACTTCCTATCTAGCTGGGTGTGGTGGTACACACCTGTAATCCCAGCACTCAGGAGGCTGAGGCAGGAGGAGTGCCATGAGTATGAGGTCTGCCTGGGTGGGGTATATATTGAGTTCAAGGCCAGCCTGAATTACATAGTAAAACCCTGGCTCAAAACCAAACCCAACCCAATCAAACCCAACCAAACCCAATCAAACCTATCCAATCAATCCCCTCACCAAAAACAAAACAAAACAAAACTCAAACTTCCTATCACTGGGAGCAAACAGGGAGACGGAAAGCAAGGTGCCATCTGACGCGGGTGAGGCACGGGGTCTGCAGTCATGCCTAGCTTGCTCTTCCCGCTCACCTCTAATGCACCCTGCATTAGAGACTTTCCGACCGCGTCCCAGCGCAGTTACAGGAAAAGGACAGTCAGAGAGGACAGAACTTGGTCTCCCACTTTAGTAGGTTCTGAGCAATCAGAAGGGTGGAAAACTATGATTTCTTTAAAAAAACACATAGTAGGCTTCTTAATAGATCCTTTACCTTTGTAGGGCATGTGGATCATTTCAAGTCTCATTTTCATGAAGTCTTTCATAATTTTACTCATTCATCCGTTCTGGGATTTCATAATTTTACTCATTCATCCGTCCAGGCTTTTACCGAGCTGCATCTCCAGCCCTTTTTAAACTTTTGTTTTGAGATGGAGGGTCTCACTAAGTCGCTAAGCTGACCAGACTGGAGTCAAACCTGTGATCTCCTGCTTCAGCCCACCAGAGTACTGCAATTTTGGCATGTACCATTCAATTTTATTTAGACTTCAATTTCTAATGAGCCAAAATATGCTTCGCAGTGTTCTTGCTTCTAGAGTACTAAAACAGCGGTTCTCAATCTGGAGACTTCTTAGTTACCACAAATGTGTGTGTGGGGAGGGTAGTACCACTCACATCGAGTGGGCAGAGGCCAGAGACGATGTTAAATACTCCATAGTGACCAGGACAGCCCCTACAACCAGGAATTATCCAATCCCAGTGTCAGTAGAGTTGAAGTTTAAAAATCCTGCAATAAACTGGGCATGGTGACACATGTTTGTAATCCTAGCTACTTGGGAGGTTGTAACAGGAAGATCACAAGTTCCAGGTCAGCCTGGGCAACTAAGTGAGACCCTGACTCAAAGTAGAAAGAAACACACACACACACACACACACACACACACACACACACACAGGGTGGGTGTGGTGGCACATGCATGTAATCCTGGCACTGGGGAGGCTGAGGCAGGAGGATTTCTGAAATTCGAGACCAGCCTGGGCTACATAGTGAGTTCAAGGCCAGCCTGAACTGCATAGTGAAACCCCATCTCAAAACAAATAAATAAATAAAATAAAAGAAAGGCAGACAGGCTGTAGATGTGTAAGTTAGCAACAGAGTACTCAACTGCAGTATCCCCCACACACTCATGCACTAAGACAGTGTGGACTCTTCTCGATCACGGATGACTTGTATCTAAACTGCATTACTGATATCTTGGTTCAGCAAGGGTGGTTTGTCTCAGCGGTTCCATGGGTTCACGGTCATTCTACAGAACGTGCCTTAACAGCTGCTTTCTTCTCCAGGGGCACAAGGTGGCGCAAGAACCCCACATCCCTGCCCGGGCACACTTCTCCCTCTGCCGCCAGGCTGGAAGAGGAAAACACTCCTCGCTGTGACAGAGCCGCTCTGGTCCCGCAGACACTCGGCTGGAAGGGCAGGAACCATGTCTGTGGAAATGGCTTGCACAATGCCTGGCATCATACCCCGCTGCCACCTGTACTCGGCAATTATTTTCAGAGCCACATGAACAAAGTCCTCTCCCACTCTTCTCATTAGTGTTAAGGGGTTGAAAGGAGGTTTTACAGTCTAGCCAGTCATCCCCATTTAAACCTCCTAGCTAAGGGAGAGATTTACACTCTTAGGCATAAACCAAACCAACAGGTCAATGCAAATGGAGCGCCAATGTGCCTGGAATATAGATTTCCAGTCCGGCCCATCTCTGCTCGTTCATACATCCGGGCTCTGCGTGTACACCCCGTGCCAAGTCGAACACCCCGTGAAGAGGAGGGCAGTGTGGCAGATTGAAACCTGCCCCCAAACTTGACAGGGGGAGGGGACGTGTACTGGAAACTACCTACCATTCTGAAGCCTTACAGCTACAGCTAGGATCACTGCTGGGATCTTTTCTCTACAATTATGAAGGTGCCTCCAGGGAAGTTCTTACTGGGACAAAATGTTCAGAGAAATTCTGGGAGAAAAGTCTTAGGTCAGTGTTTTTGAACTTTTCATTAATTTTCCCCCAGTAGACTAACGTTTTGAAAGATCTTGTCTATCGAATTGCGTGTTAAAAATAATATGTTCCATATGTGTGACTGCTGACCCACAGTTTATCCAAAGATCAGTAATTTTAAGAAGGTTCATAATATGAAGCATATAGTTATGAAATATATGAACGTGGTTGCAGTTGTGACACTAACGAGCAACAAAGTAACCATACAGTTACTTAAGTATTCGTTTCTGGTACTGATCTGATCACTAATTCTGGCTATCTCTGTATATATTCAGGACACAGCTATACATGGCATTTCGTTACTGAAAATGTTCTCTAAAATTAGGTGTGAAAAAAAATAAATAAAATTAGGTGTGATCGGCAATTAGCACTTCGGATGGGCTAAACCATTTTACTACACAGAGGTTTTTTTTTGGGCTTTTTGCGACAGGGTCTCGCTATGCAGTTCAGGCTGGGCTTGAGCTCACTTTGTAGCCCAGGCTGGTCTTGAACTTGCAAGGATCCACCAAGCCCAGCTGTACAAAGAGTTGATATAATTCTAATGAAATGTCTGAAGCTTTGAATCCCCTAAACTGTTAATATTCTATTTAAAGGTTTGGAGAAATACATAAAATAATGACGCGATGCATTCTGAGAAATGACAGGTAGTTTGGTCGCTGTGAGAACGCTGTCGAAAGCACTCGCACAAATTAAGGCAGCGGCACCTACTGCACTCCTGGGCGGTGAACCTGCAGAACCCATTACTGCACTGAACACTGGACAGCTGCAACATGTGGCACTTTGTATTTCAATGTATCTAAACACAGAAAAGACATGGTAAACTGTACAACTTCTATACGCAATAAAAAATGCACACCTGCTTAGGGCATCACCACAAAAGGAGCTTGCAGGCCTGGAGGCTGCTCTGGGTGAGCGTGTGCGGGAGGCAGATGAAGGCCAAGACATTACCGCCTACTGCTGTGGGCCCGACAAACGTGATACACGTGAGGCATACTACGCTAATTAAAAATATTCTTTTCTTCACTAAAGTAATCTTAGCTTACTGTGTCATTTTTACCTTATAAACTAATGTTTTAAACCGTTCTTTTATAATAACACTCAGTTTAAAACAAAAACATACTGAACAATCTGAGCAACTACTTGAAGATAACAATATGCAATATAATAACCATTTTATATTTTATTTTATTTTTTGCCTTTTTTGAGACAGGGTCTCGCTGTGCAGTTCAGGCTGGCCTTGAGCTCACTTTGTAGCCCAGGTTGGTCTCGAACTCCCAACGATCCTCCTGCCTCAGCCTCCCAAGTGCTGGGATTACAGGCGTGTGCCACCATGCCCGGCTAATAACCATTG